TTTTTTTTTTTTTTTTTTTTTTTTTTTTTTTTTTTTTTTTTTTTTTTTTGCTTATGTCATTTACTATCATATTCCCAATGGCGGCGCTCTTTATGGGGAGGCAGAAAGCCGGACAATCTGTGGTGGTCAGAGGGCCTCCGCCAGGGGATATCTACGTGGTCTTTCTTCTGTCTCAGCAAGCCTGCCATTCCGTGCACAGAACCGGGAAAGAAGATGGAGCTGCCTCAGCGGCACCGGCAATGGCGGCATCATCCGTCGCAAGGAGGGATCCCGGATGCCGCCTCGTGTAGTGACAGATTTGAGCCCGACGATAGGTTGCACGAGAAAGCGACAGATATGGCGGCACTGTGTCTTAATGAGACCGGGAAGAATGGCGGCCGTCACACCGAGAGCATCGTGGTCTACGCAGGTGGAGTTTAAGGAAGCTCATCTCGCGAATGTGGAGGAGGTGGCGACGCAATTGTGGAATTTGACAGTGGATATCAGCAAGGTACGGATGGTGACGTGGGTCATTCGGTTGAGTTAGGGGGCACGTTGCCACCCCCTCGCCTCTGACGTGCTGAATGGAAGAACATGGTTGCACTATGCTTGTTTGAAATGAAGGCACGTGTTGGGGAAGCAAGTTGGCCAGTGCCTGTCATATTCCTCCTCTCTCCTCTTCTTGTCACCACCAGACTCTATCACAAATATCCCATCCCACTGATGATATATCACCTGCTCTCCCTTCTTTTCTCGCATTCCCTTCTCCCTCGGTCTTTTCTCACTCCCTTCTCCCTCTACTCCCTCTTCTTCATCTTCTCCCCCCTCTCTTCTCCCTTCTGTTCTCCACTGTCTTCTTCTCCTCTCTCCCCTCTCATCTCCTCCCCAATCATCTCCCTTCTCCCCTCCACTCTTATCTCCCCTCTTCTACCATCTCTCTTCCCCCTTTCCGTTCTGCCTTGCCCTACTCTCCCATCTCCCTTCTCCCTTCTCTGTTTTCCTCTTCCCTTTTTCCTTCTCCATTGTTTCACTTTCAGTCTTCCCACTACCCTGCACTTTCCCCCTCTTCCCTTCCGTACCGGTCTCTCTCTGCTTTCTTCCTGTGCCCTGCTTTTCCCTCTCGTTTCCCCCTTTTCTCACCTTCTTTTCTCTCCCCCATCTCTCTTTGTCTCACCTCTTTTCCTCCTTTCCTTAGTTACTGCCCTTCAGCATCATCCTCGTCGTACCAGTCATCGACACCATCACCATTGCCATCGTCATCACTAACATTAGCACTGCCATCGGAGATGGCAGAATCGGCATATTGATCACTGCCATCTTCGTCTTTCCTCCCATCACAATGACATTCGTCTTCGTTTCCTTCCTTACGGCCTTAGGTTATTTTCAGTAACAAAGCACGCACCATCACCTGCACGGCATACTCCCGAGCTCAATCATCTCCATAAAATCACCATCATAATCTCTATAGATTCTCTACCATAATATGTATTTTCCTCCTCACTGCCACATCAGGCCATTGTTATCTCTTCATCCTGGATCCCGATCATATGCTTTGACTTAACCAATTGTCGATTGAATCACTCAGAAAGAGATCCACGGGAACCACTGTTGTGTTTGTATCAGAAGGAAAAATACGATTTCACAACAAAAAGCTACCGTCTTCACCCGAATAGAACGCCTGGTAATTATCGCCGTATCTGGGTGGAAAGTTGTGCCGAATACAGCTATAATGACTGGGTGTTATATTTGGGTGAAGAAGGTAGTAGTGCAAAAAGGGCCCGATGGGCCCCCTTTTTCCCCTGTAAGCAGCACAGTCGGCCGCCCTCAGTGAAGGCAGGCCCGACCGAGGCCAAGAGGCCTATTTTTTGGCTACCATGCAACTGGGGAAATTCAGGCAGTTGCGTAGCGCCAGTTGGTTGATAGCGCCCAGGTCCAGGCTGCCTTTTCGTACGTAACTGAGGCAGGCCCTGGGCCAGATACACACAAGGGCCGAACACAGGCTGCGGGCAGTTGGGCACAAGCAACCACCACAGGCCCTGGGCCTGATTTGTTTGGACCAGGGCTCAGTCTCTCGGGCCCTACCGGAAGCTTCTGGGCAGGGGCCCAGCGCAGCCAGGCCACACGCAGCAGGCAGGCCACTTCCATTTAGGAAAGTGCCTGCCCTCACATTGGGTATTCGGGCACTGGCTGCATGCTGCGCAAGCGCTGCTGCACTGAATGCTGGCCAGTGCTCACGCGCTCACTGGCGAGCTGGATGAGCAGGCAGCCATAGCCGAGCTGCGCTGCACTATGCTGGATGGGGCGCATGGTGGTTCTTGGGTGCATGTGGCATCTGTGAGTGGGGGATCGAGGTTGTGAGTGATACGAGAGACATACCTGAAAGCACATTTATAACAGGCAAAAAGAAAAACTGAGAAAAGAGTGAAAATTCAGCGAAATATGACAGTTTCGGTGAAAATTTCGCCAAAATTCGCCGAATTTTGGGCCTTCCATTAACCGCCTCTCGACTATCTGGTTACATGTGTATGATGCTGCTTGGTTTCTGGGATTCGCTATCGCTCATTTTCGTTGCTGTAGACGTCAGACACAGTAACCAAGCACAAAAAAAAAAGAATATTTGGGCGTCGAAGCATAAAGCCAAAACGGACAGACACATCAAGCAGTACCGCCTAGGGTTTAGGGTCTCCACGAAAGCGAAAGGTACATCAGGGAATGTGATCAAAAGAACAGAATATGCGGACATACAGAGAACCAAAAAAAAAAGGTTTTCCTTCTATTTCCAGTACAAGGGCGACAGAGTGCCGTCGTCGTGTGCAAAGAGCAATGAAGGAAGAGAGATGCTTCTGCTTCTGCTGCTGCTGCTGCTGCTGCTGCTGTGGTGATGAGTACGATGAGTATGATGACAACTATGATATGATAATCAGGATGATCAGGACAAGGAGGTTGACTTAGTGGAGAAAATGATGATGATTATGAGGATTGCAATCAGACTCGTTTTCAAACACACTTTTCACACATGTAAACAGTAACGCAGCACACTGGCGACATGCGCCCACTCAAAACTCAGAGATATGG